AGGAGGGCGACGAGGTGAAGTGAGGGCGGGCAGGAGAAAGAGAGCCACCCGGCACAGCTTCTCTTTCTTTTCTTGCTGTGCCTCGGGAAGGTAAAGCGGTGGGTAGGGCAGACGAGCAAAGGCTTCTGTTCTGGGGTGGGGAAGGGAGAGGCCAGCAAGCCTTACCGAAACCCAGCAAGCGGTTCCCTTCTCATCTCTGCCCCCCAACCCTAAGGAGGGGCTCCTCGCCCCTGATGGTCTTCACCTACGTCGCGATTGGAAATAGCCCCACCCTTCCCCCGTGTAAACACTCCCTCACCCCTTCAAGCATGGGGTGCGCAGGGGTGCGGTGGGTGTGCGGATGGGCAGGTGCTCCTGCGCATGTGCAAAGCAGTGGGGGAACCACTTCCCCAACCAGTTTGCGCGTGCGTCGGAGAGCGCGAGTGCGAGGGGTCGCCCCACCTCCCTCAGAGGCTCCACCGGTCCGCACTACAAAAAAGGTTGAGGAACGCTGCCTTATGGGACACTTAAATCTTGAAGTGTCAACAAACAAAAATGCGTAACTTGCAAACAGAGACAGGATCATTTACCTATACTACACACAATAATAAACAAATAATAATAAACAAATAATAATAAATAAACATATCAACCCACATCATATATATGGTAAAGAATCCTATAGCGTTTTAAAAACTTACTATAGCATCAGTTTTTGCAGACTACAGCTCACTTCATTAAGCACATGAAGTGTTTTCCAGAATTTCACATGTATAAATAAATAAGCAGTATACACTATTGGAGGGATGAGATGTCAGCAGTGAGGTCAGAATTAATTTCCAAAAACTTCTGCTGTTTTAGCTGCAACAGACTAATGTGAACTTTCTATCCGTCTGATAAAATCCTCATCAGATTATCTGATTCATATGTCTTTTTTCATTGTCACAGGGAAGGTTAGTAAAGAGCCTTTTTTTGTTTCTAATACTGATTATCCTTTGTTTGCTTACCAGTAAGATGTAATGGTTCTTCCAAATAAAGACAAGTCTCTCATAAATGTATTGGTTCTGATGAGAAATATGTCCTTGAGAAGCACAGCAATGGAAGTTGGGGGGTTATTTTTCATTCTTCTACAGTTTTGAGATTCATTTTCAAATATGAGTGCACATTAAGGACATGAGCTGTGAGGAAAAGGCACATCAGCAGAACTGTCTGAAGAGTTTTTTATGTTGAAAATTACTGTAGTTCTTAGACATCTGTCATTATAAACAACCCCAAAATTGCATTGGGTGTTGAAGCTGAGCAGATCATTAAACACTTGAATCACAACCTGACTTACATATAGTCTCTTAGTTTTTAGTGCTCTTTGGTGCTTTTGGCATAATGGTTTGTGGAATCCTTTTGCCCACTAATCAGTTATGATAAGGCGATATGTGTTCTAAACATTGTAAAGATTTTTTAGTATTCTAAGATAAAGTGCTGCAGAAAGTTAGGTGAGCAGTGGTGTGTGTAGTGTGTGTGTACATGGATGAAATCTTGGGGAGGAGAAGTTATTTCCATGATGAACATGCAAAGAAGTTGTTACCTTTCAGCTTTCTTGTTCCCTCCGTGCAACATAATAAACTATCAAAGAAGTGTATTTGACTCTGTTACTGTTTTACTGTTCAGCTGTAGATGAACAGAATGCTCAAACCCAAGAACAGGAAAGCTTTCTGTTGGGACTCTCCGCTGCTGAAGATGGAAAGGACATGAAGAATGAGAGTAAAATTTCCTTACAGTCATCAAACACCGGCAATTATGGATTTCCAAAAGGGAGAAGCTATAGGAAAGGTAAAACCTTATGGAGCTTAGGTGCTTTGAATACCATTTCATTGTATGTATCTTGCTAGATCCTACTTAGTTATGGGTGGCTGTGGCAGGAAGAGGGTTGGCGGTTGCTGTTATCCCTTTACCAGTGTTCCATATTCCTCCAACTTCCAGCAAGCCTCTAGCATTTGTTGTTGTTGCTATGTGCCATCAAATCGGAACCAACTTATAACCACAGAGAGCTTTCATGGTAAGTGGAATATTTAAGGAGCAATTTTGCCAATTCCACAAGTTTAATGATTGTCCATGGCTGAACCCAAGCCCCTGAATCCTAGTCTATTGCACTATCCACTACACTTACATACTAGGTATCACCTTTGTAGAAAATCATGTATGAGCAAATCATACAGCTGTTATTCTGTTCATGTGCTGCATTGTTTAATTAGTCTGTCAGTGTTTTTAGTTAATGAATTAAGTTATTTTAATTATTTGATAATAAAAATACTTATCTTTTCCTTTTCCCCCCATCTTGAACTATATTATTTTTATTATACTGCTTTTATTCTATTTTTATTGTTGGCCGCCCAGCATAGACATGTGTCTAGATGGGTGGGGTATAAATTTAATAAATAAATACTGTAAGTTATACCAGTCACTGATATGGCCTTCCTTTGTAACAGCAACTTCCATGTGTGGGAGGTGGTTTTTCCCCTGTGTTTAGAAAAGTCAGAAATCCAGGATTTTATTGTAGTAGGAGTGGGCAGTAGTGCTACTCTGAAAGTAATAGCAAATACAGGACCCCATGATGTCTCCAACAGGTCTCATTTTTGAAAAAAAAGTTGTTTTTAAAAATTTGCAAACAGAAAAAAATGTATTTTTAATTCACACAGATGAAATCCTTTTGTTATTATAATTATATGGAGGATGGATGGTGGCTGACAGTGTACCCTGCAAAGTAACTTCGTACCCATTTTGCTGTAGGGAGTTAAAGTAATATGGGACAATCCTGTAGCATTGTCCAATGTTACTACAGTATGTCCTGCTATCATAGGCTTTTGTAGGGAAATACAGTGTGATTTACTCTCGTTGGGACAAATATTTTAAATTTAGTCAGTTCATAGTTAAATCAGGGAACAATTATTAATTCTTTGGCATTTCCTTATTTCCAACATTTAGATAGCAGGTCGTTAGTAGGAGTCCATTTCTTACAGTATTTCCATTATTGTTTGGAAGTCATGAACAAACAAAAATACTAGGAGGCTTTCCATTGAAGCAGCAAGAAATTGTGATTGAGAGGTGCTACGGGTGCTGGATCAGTAACATATAGTATCTCTGGCTTTGTTACATTTCATAGTGACCAAGTCTCCTTGTGAAAGATTAATAAATAAAGGAAGTTTATCTGTGGGAAGCTCTGCCTCTCTTCCTTCCCAAACAGGAAACCGGGACAACCTACCAATGCTAAATGCAAAGATCATCTATCCCAGTGAGTAAAACAGTGCTCTTCCTGTCTAGTTAAAGCTGGAATGGTATAATCCTGTGCTAAGGACATGACATGTTTTCTCTAATTAAGATAAATTAATGATATTTGGTTAATCTCTCATTCACAGGCAACACTTGATTGGCTTGAATAAGAAAGAGTTATAGATATTGAGTATCTAGAAAAGAAAAGATAATAATCTAGTTTCTTTCTAAGAATAGGAAACTTGGTTGGGTATATTTTAGGTACTGCATACCTAGCTGATAAATACATTTGGAAATAAAGTAATCAGTTTCCATGGATGATTAAACAGAAAGATATCAGACTCCAGAAATTAAGGACTATAGTCAATACAGATAGGACTTTTGGATTTTTTTGTACTTGCACCCAGAATTCACCCAGAATTCCTCATTCTGGGAAATGGGGCTCAAACACAGAAGACGACAGAAAAGATTTCCATTGCATCCCTCTGCATGTTTTATCTTTTGAAAAATAATGAAAATGTTCTCTGAGAGTTCCAAGGCAACCTGGGAATCCCAAGGTTTCATGGGTGGAGTAGTCCCCTATAGAGCCTAATGTCATTGAGGTGACCCTTTGCATGAAGGCTCATGACTCCTAGGTAGCCAATAACTTCCAGGGGCACGAGGGCAGTTTCCTTGTTTTTCAAAGGAGAAACTTGCAAACTGGAATGATGGGGATATAGAAATCTCTGTTGCCTTCTGTTTATGGGCTCCCTCTCCCAGAATTCTGGGGAATTCCAGGTGAATTCTGAGAATGAAAAATATCTGACAGGCTAATCTCTGATAATTGACTCTGAAATATTTGGTTTCTCAGGCATTTTAGGTTCTGGTTCAGATTATCAGTAGTATGCAGATTTTGCATTGATCCTGAAGTTACTGTTATACATTTCCTTGCTTTAAAATATATGACCTTGTTGATTGTATAACTCAGCCCTTTTTTAAAACCAGCTGAGTAAAATAGTTTCCTCTAGTCTTTGTGGAGATTATCAATTTATACAATGAAATCTAGGCAGTCTTAAGAATTTTGGTGTATTATTGAAACCAAATTCTGTATTCTATTGTACTCTTCTTTCAGATTGCATCAGTGTTTTAAGAGTTACGTTATTCAACAGAATTAGGAGACTCTAGGTCTGTCTCACTTCAGAGCAAGACTGTGTATACAGTATCTTTCTTCCAGCCTGCTAACCAAAAAGAACATAAAGTTAAATCTGTGTTTGCTTTTAACATGTGGCTAGTACCCTCTGAGGGATGTATACTTGGATCATTATCAGATACTGCCATGGTACTGACAAAGTAATTCCTCTGAAGTAATTCCTTCACGTACCATAGGCACCATAGCAGGAATAAAGGGTTGCAGTCCTCCCACCATGTGTTGTGGTTGTAATGTCAGCCCTCATAGCGAGCATAGCTATTAAAATCTATGTTCAAGGCAAAGATGTGTTCAACATAATGTCTAATTCGCCCCTAAACTGATCATAGAAAAAAAATCTGTTTTCTGACATATAAAGAAACTAACCATCATCTTTCACAAAATCATAAACATAAGAACTTGGAAAACTTTTTATGTGCTTCAACCTGCTTCTGTAGGATTTAAGTATTAAGGCTAGAATTTTTCATAGGTCTGAAGTCTTGTTTTCCTCTCATTGTTCAGCAACAGTGAGCATGTGAAATAGTGTTTCATTCTCCAGAAGTGACTTCCTGTTGGTTTTGGAGGTAAAATATAGCGCCAATTAAAATATACTATGTCCCACTGCCCTTCATAAACTCCATACTATTTCCTGTAATGTTAATTTTCCACCAACAGATCTCCGTCCTGGGTCATCTGGTTCTCTACCTGGAGGTTCTGTTATCAGCCGGTTGTTGATCAATGCAGACCCATTTAACTCTGAACCAGAAAATCTGTGAGTATTCAAGTAAAAACTAACTGACCTCCCCATTAGTGTCTCTATGTTCAAGTAGATAATCATTTAGATAAAAACAAGAAAATGCTCTTACAGCACAGGCAAGGACAGATACATTATTTACTGTGTGTGTGTGTTTAGTCGTTTAGTCGTGTCCGACTCTTCGTGACCCCATGGACCAGAGCTGAAAATAAAAACCCTATTGAAACTCACTGAAACCCGTTCAATGCATTCCAATGGAATTAAATCTCACCATCCAGCGAAGATCCTCCATACGGTGGCCATTTTCGCTGCCTGTATAGCGAGGAATCCGTCCCTAAACACAGCGGGGAGCCATTTTAATTACCTGGTGGCCATTTTGTAACCGCTGATCAGCTGTTCTAAAAACACCGATCATCACAAAGCGAAATTCCCCTATTTAGACCATTGTTTTGCGATCGCAATTTCAATCGCAAAAAGATCGTCGTAAAGCAAATTCATCGTAATGTGGGGCAATCGTTAAGCGAGGCACCACTGTAGTCTAATTGACTACACCTTTGGGTACTTTAAAAATATAGCCTCCTTCTGTGGTGATGTGCTGATATCATATGAGGTTATATTAAACATTAGCATATTTTTTCCTCATTATCTGCATTTGCCGGGTTAGGAGTTGTAAGGAAGCTAATATTGTTTGTTCCCCGGCTTGTAAAGTATGGAGGCTAAATTCAGTTGCTAGACCCAACTACAATTGATGGGACTCACATAATTGTTGGCTTAAGGGGAAAAAAAGTCTATTTTATTCTGTGGATGTACTCTAAGGACTAGCAATTGGACTTAGGCTTTGTTCCCAAGAAGAAAATGAGAAAAGTTTTGAAATATGATAGGCCTGAAACATGTGGTATAATTGCAATAGTTGTTTGCTGAAGTTCTTGGATATTTTAGTATAGTTTTGATTTCTTTTTAATGGATTTTATAATGTTCAGTGGCTGTAGAACGTCTTTATTACTTTTGGTGTGAGTCTATTTCATTGGCTTTTGGTATGAGGCTGGGATACTCAGATTGTTTTCACATACATTGTACAAATTCCTGCTAATACCCATCTGCTATGCCTCTTCCAGCTTTCTTGGAGGTGCCACCATTTGCCTTATAATTTAAAAAAAAGCAGGGATAGCTCTTTTCAGAAAGCAGAATTTTTAAAATAAGCTAATGGGAAGGGGAAGCAGGTGGAAAACTGAAGTCCTTGTTGTCTGGATGTTGTTTTTTTTACAGATCTAATGGGAGGATGCTAATGATAAACAAATAGATGGTACAGTGGTCAAAATTCTATTTGATATTCATGTGGACACAAGAGATGTGGAAATTGCCATCGCTAAATAACGATGCGCTAGCTACATGGTTTGAGTGCACAACTGACATGCATGTTAACTGGGGCAACAAAATTATGTAATTTTTCTTGGATGTGCATAAATATCCATTATGACTTTGGCCAGTTGTGTTAGATTTTATAGACTCACTGAGAGCTGGAAATGTAGAAATGTCCGTTCTTCCATCTTAAATAATTTAAGTCTTGTCAAAGTATTGACAGATGTATCCTTCCTATTTTGATATGATTTCAATTCTCATATGTACTACTACTACTATAATCTTGATCTTTTTTCTATCTTGTTTAATTTTGTTTCTCCTACTACCTTATCCTTAGTTATTGAGCTCTTCCTTTTACATCAGTAGTGTACCACATATAGCTCTCCATATGTTTTTGATCTGTGATACCAATCAGTCACAACCAGTATAACCAGTGGTGAGTAGGGTTGGGAATTAGATTTCATCAGCACCTAGAAGGTTACATTCTGCTTATTCCTTCCATAAGTAGAAGGCATAATATTGGGACTCCTTTGGACTTCACAAAAGTGCTGCAATTAGGTCTGTTGACAAAGAAATGAATGGATGATGTTGAAATATTCCACCAAGTTAAATCAAAGTGTCTCCTACACTTTACAGCGATTGCTACATAGAGAAATGTGTGATGAATAACTACTTTGGAATTGGACTGGATGCGAAGATCTCTTTGGACTTCAACAACAAGCGTGATGAACATCCAGAAAAGTGCAGGTAAGTCAGTACATGAAAATATGTTCTAAATCTTTAAGTAAAAACCTGTTGTGTCATGTGCACTTAGTTATCTTTATACTTAGTGTCTCATAAAGATACCGTGGTGCCCCGCAAGACGATGTTAATTCGTTCACCGAAAATCACTGTCTTGTGAAAACATCGTCTTGCGAAATGCAGGTCCCCATCGGAATGCATTGAAATCCGTTTAATGCGTTCCAATGGGGAAAAATCGTTGTCATTTTGCAAAAATTGCCCATAGAGAAACCGTTTTGCGAAGCGCGGATCAGATGTAAAAATCGCTGTCTTGCGAAAAACGGTCCCGAAAACACCCATTTTGTAAGTCACAGACTCAGCTGTCTTGCGAAAATCGATCCCGAAAAAAAAAGTCTTGCGAAGCACGGTCCGAAACATCGTCCAGCGAAAATCACCCATAGGAAACACCATTTTGCAAAGCACTATACCGATCGCAAAAACGCATCGTCTAGCGAATTAACTGTTTTGCGAAGTAATTGTCTAGTGGGGCACCACTGTACTTTTCTTGCATGTGTATGATAATCTAATATATAATCAAAAAATGTCAGCAAAGTGTGTTCTACCCCACTTTGCTCAAAATAAGCATGCTTCTACAAGACCTAGATGCTGCTCTTTCTTTCCTTTAATGTTCTAGAACAGTGGTCCACAACCTTTTTTTGAACTGTGGACCGGGGGGCTCAGTACATGGGGGGCACCCCCTCGCTTATGGGAGGGCGTGTTGCGCGAGCACAACATGCCCTCCCGCAAGCACGACACACCCACTGTGCGTGCAGGTGGGGGGACAAGATCCATCTCCGCAGCCCAGTCCTGAGATGCCCACAGACCTGCACCGGGCTGCAGACTGGGGTGGGGACCCCTGTTCAAGAAGATTAGATGGGGTGTTTCAGGGACTAGATTAAGCCTAAAGATATTCTCTCAGTTCCATAATGTAAATTTCAGTGTGCAAATATATAGCTTGGTTCTTTGCTTTCTCTTATCAGAAGCCGCACCAAAAACATGATGTGGTACGGAGTCCTTGGGACAAAGGAGTTGCTGCACAGAACCTACAAAAACTTAGAACAGAAAGTTTTACTAGAGGTAATGTGTTCTAGAGTGGCCTCTAAGATGTTTGGTCAAATTATGAAATGTACAAAAGCTTGTTTTCAACTAGGATGTGTGGCCATGCATAATGCTGATCAGGGATTTATTTAAAGTGAAACTGAACTCCACTGAAGTCTTCGGATGGATAGTGAGATGAAGGAGAAGAGAAGGAAGAATATGTGAGCCTGATGGTTTGTTTGGGCTTGTTCAGAGCCATTCAAATAATACTGTACATGTTGTGGCATTATGTGCACACCAGCTCAGTTTAGCAGCCAGCTACAAGTGACAGGACCATGCACTCCCAAATCAACTCTCTTCTTTGCTCCTTTTTTCCTCAGTATTTACCGCTCTATGTTGTTAAACATAGATAACTTTAATGTCCAAATGAAGCGCTGAAATTAAATCTCAATTTACTCAAGGTCTTCAGTAGAGATGGGCATGAACCTTGGTTTGGAGGTTTGTGCCAGTTCATCGGCATAGCACCACAGGTGCCACATGTTCTCTTTCCACACATCCCTGGCCAGCTCACCCACTCACCAGCCAGCATGCACTGCTCTTTCCCTCCTCTTTGCACATCATCCACTCCCAGCAGGAGTGCCTGCTTCCTGCCTCTGCCTCCTCCAATAGCCACCCACTCAAAGACAGTGCTGCAGGAATCTCTGCCCTGCTGGAAGAGGCAGAGGAGGGAAGCAGGTACTCCTGCTAGGACTATAGGAGTGTGTAAAGAGGAGGGAAAGAACAGCACACTAGCTCGTGAGTGGGGGAGCTGACTGGCGTGTGTGGGGAAGGGAATGTGCACTATGGTGCAGCACTGACAAACTGGCACAAACCTCCAAACCAAGGATTGTGCCCATCTTTAATCTTCAACCAACTTCAAACTCTGATTTGAAGATTTCAGTTAGTAAATAAACCACAGTTCTCCATTCCAGGTGTAATGGAAAATGGAAGTTTAATAAAACCAGGAGTAAGCATGAAGAAATATAGAAGAAAGCCTTGCAATCTTTTTCTGATGCCTATCTGCTACACTGTGGTCTTTCAAAACTTGGAAGTGTAATGTCTAAACCATGCACAAATGGGATAGAAGTGCATATTGATATTAAAAAGAGCAATATACTGGTAATGGAAGATTTTTGAAACAGTAATTGTGACTGCATTAAAATGTGACTTCAGACTATATGTTATTGTTATGCTTACAAGAAGAAAGTCTTATGCATGTACTTGAATGTTTGCCCTCTTCCTTTCATGTATGTAGTGAGGAATCAGACAGAGTTACATTTCATTTTTGCCAAGTCCTGGCTTTTTGTTACATGAAAATCAAGAATTGTGCTTTAAATTAAAATCTTGACTTGTTAAACAAGCTATCTAAACAATCTATCCTACCCATGTATGTCTTGCAGTGTGATGGGCGTCCAATCCCTCTGCCTAGTCTGCAGGGAATTGCTGTTCTCAACATTCCCAGCTATGCAGGAGGCACCAACTTCTGGGGGGGCACTAAGGAAGATGATGTAAGTATTCAGATTTTGCAAATGAAGATGGAGTCTTGTTTGCTTGCTTCTGTGATTCCTTTTTCCCAATCAGGGCTTCCACTGTGGTTCACAATGGTTAAAACAAGTTAGGTTAAAAATGTAATAAATTATAAAATTAAAAAACAGTTAAACATCACCCCTTGTTTGCAGCTTCTTGAGGCAGCTTCTGCTGTAGCCATCCAGATATCCAAGAAGCATGGCTATAGCAGAGCTGCCTTGACAAACTGCAAACAAAGGTTGATCAGCAATTTCCTTTGGTCTAGGTGCTCTAGTACAACTTTGTTGTGCTGGCAACAATCCTTTTAAAAAGAAAAGAAAGAGCCTTATTAATACCATTAGTAAAAATTGAAAGTCTCATTGTGGTCGCCTAAGACATGCACAGTCTACTCAGAACTCCCCTTCCTTTGGTATGGGAAGGGAAAGGAAAACAATGAGACCCAGGCACCATTTTTCATATTACATTGTTGTACTTACAATTATCATTTCAGTGGTAGAAGTTTGCAGAGGAAAGGATTCATACAGCAGCACTTTCCTATCTGGATGGGCCCACTGCCCTGCCTCTCTCACTGTTGTACCGGTGTAGAATGGCTTGACACAAAACAGCTACAACACCCCCCCCCCATAGAAGGGGTCAGAAACTGTATACATCGGCAGAAGTAAACATACTGCCTGAACCAATGCGAATGCACTCACTGCAAGGGAGGGTGCGGAAGAAGCCCTAGCAGCAGAGGAAAAAAGTCTAGACTGGTCAGGGTGATTCACATTGACTTGTATGTTGTGTATTCCACAGAAAATAATACGGATCTGAGTATCCAGTCCCACAGCAATCCCTGTATTGTTTGCCAACATAGTCACTCTCTAAGACACTGAGTGAGAGAAAATTGCACAATATTCAAACTCAGTTAAAATTATTTTGAAACTATTTGGATTTTCTTTTTCGAGGAACTTCTCAAAGCAGCTTTGGGATTTTGAAGCAGAAAAAAGAGGATTGTACTTAAACTGTTACTGCTCATGTTTTCTCTACCTCAAATTTCCTTCTGATGTTCCTTCTTTTGAGTTTGGGATAAGTAAATATCCTTCAAAATACATGTTTCAACCATGCAGAAGGAAAATACACCATCAAGAGAAGTGCAATTTCGGATGGGAGATCGCTGAGCAAGAAAAGGTTTAAGGGAAAGACTCATCTTCAGCCTGAAGCTCTTTCATTGCTCAGATTCTCATCTCCCCATTTTTTTTAAAAAATGTAATTACTGAGAAGCAAATGGATCAATTAAATCTAAAGTCATACTGGATAAATTTGTTGCTTTTTTTTTTCTTAGACATTTACAGCTCCTTCTTTTGATGACAAGATCTTGGAAGTGGTAGCTGTGTTTGGTAGTATGCAAATGGCTGTCTCACGTGTGATTAACCTACAGCATCACCGGATTGCCCAGGTATTTAGCTCTTTTGTTTTCCTCCTAGGCTGCTTGCTGTCCACAGGACATTTTAATTATGGGTTTCCTGAAGCAATCAAAGAAGATTAATGAGTTATATAAAGTTTATAGCCAAAAGCTCTTTCTGCAATAATTTATAGAAGGACCAAGGCCAATGAGGGCAGTGATTAATAGTTAATATAGGCTGGTTTCTGAATGCTGCTTTAATTTGTAGTATTTGCCTGCTTTCTACTTTTCTTTGAGCACTAAGAAAGCCATTTGTTCCAGTGGAACATAGGACAGGGTCTGGTATAGCACGTGCAAAACATGCCTTGTTTTATTTAGAACTAATTAACACATTTCTCATAGTGTCGGACAGTGAAGATAGCAATTCTGGGAGATGAGGGAGTTCCTGTACAAGTTGATGGAGAAGCCTGGATCCAACCACCAGGGTATATTTGGATTGTTCATAAAAACAGAGCACAGACGCTGACTAGAGACAGGGTAAGAAGAGACCTCTTATCACTGCTGTGCATGTGTCTATATATTTGTGTATATACCCACTAGAGCAGGGGTGGGCAGTTTCTAGGGCTGGGGAACATGTTGGCTCTCTTGCAACCCACTGGAGATGTCCCCTCCTCCTCTTGCTGCTGCTAAGCATTTTTCAGCATTTCTTTTATCATCACCAAGATACCAGTGATTCTACTGTTGGGGGACATGTTGGCGCTCTTGCAACCCACTGGAGATGTCCCTTCCTCCTCTTGCTGCTGCTAAGCATTTTCAGCATTTCTTCCATCATCACCAAGATACCAGTGATTCTACTGGAATATATGATATGCAGAACGTGTGCACCATTTTCTACAACCATGCCCCACACACCACACTTCTTGAGAATCCTGTTTCTTAGCATCACTAAGATTTTAGCAGCAGTGATAGAACATTTATTGTTGTGTTGAGTATTGCCCACTCCTGCAATAAAAGGGATTAACAATTTTATCACAGCTGTCCATGTTAGTTGGTATACCCAATGCCAGGATGTTCCTGTGATCAATAACAATTTTGTAAATGGCCATTGTTAATAATATAACTGTCAATATCATTTATCTGTCCTGACTGTTAACAATCGCCCCACCTCAAGAATAATATTTTGTGCATCTGCTTATTTCATAAGAACTCTTTCAGGCATTATAAGACTTTGGGTTTTTTTCCAAAAAGAAGAAAACTGTCAGGCTCTCCTCCAGGAGTATAGTCTAATATTATGATACAGACTTCCCAGAGACAGAGTAAGACATACGAATGCACACTGACCAAGAATATATAGTGTGAGACAGCAGAACACTTTCCTATTTTTTCCAGGCATTTGAAAACACTCTAAAGTCTTGGGAGGACAAGCAGAAGTGTGAGCTACCGCGACCACCTTCTTTCTCACTGCATCCAGAGATTATATCTGAAGAAGAGTCTACTCACATCAATCAGTTTTGCCGAGCAGCAGGAGCACTGATTCACAGGTGAGAAAACCTTCCTTTCCTGGGTTCCAGTGAAGTAAATCAAACAGTAACCCTCGAAAATTTATTGCATTGTCTTTTTCTACCATCTCTGCAGCATACAAGAAATAGCCCAGTCATATCAGGACATGGAACAAGAACTTGCTCATGCAGTCAATGCTAGCTCCAAATCTATGGACAAAGTATATGCTAAATCCAAGTCCACAGAGGTATTACATGGTCTGTCTTAGTTTTCCTCCATGTTGTTCCTACTGGTTGGGTTCTCTTGACTGTCCTATGCTACTTTACATTGGTTTGCATTTTCTATCCTTGATGTGTGTGTTCTTTCCATAGGGGCTGAACTGTGCTGTTGTTGTAGAGATGGTGAATAATGTTAAAGCCCTGCATAATGAGACAGAACTACTCCTAGCTGGGAAAATGGCTCTGGTAAGGCATAAATAGAAGGAAAGTGGACTTCTTGATTATTTGTGTGACTTATCTCATGTACTGATCATATATGCCTGTTAGACATTCACAACTTGGACATTCACACATAAGAATGTTTTTACCTCCCTCACCCCTTTCTTAATTTTTTTCTTCAATTCTGCAGTTTGCTAATACTAAACTCTATACTAAAACTCTGTCTCTGAAGTTGTATTCTGTGAGGTAGCTAACGTGAGGTAGTGCTCTGTAGATCCAATATATTCAAGAATGAGCAACGCTTCGCACTGTTGTACAAAATAACAAATGCTTTAGAAGAGTCAATCATTGGTTTGGTATTTAGCAAACAACTACAGAAATTGGCAGTTTAGAAAGTTTCTGTATCCCATTCTGAATAAGATTAGTAATCTCTCCGTTTTTGTTTTATTTTACTTATAACCTGCCTTTCTCCCACAATTGGGCCAAAGGCAGCTTGCAACATGATTAAAAACAGGTATAAATAAAAAGTGGTTCAGCAGTGAATAGCTGATTCCTTCCAAAGATTTCTTTGAAAATGTAATACTCGGCTAATGTGTGAAGGTGCCAATAGAGTTCCTGCCTGACTATCATAATTGCAACATTTCCCAAAGCTAAAATTGTCCATAAGCAATTGTTGTTATTCTTTTTTTTCCTTCTCCCTTTTGCCATTGTCTGTTCATTTTGGTACAAAATGTGACTTGATACTGGGCAATATCATTTTCTTCCTGGTTCACTAAAAAGGCTGATGTTTGTCTTTAGCTATTGCACATTGTTCTGGTGATATATTTCCAGGAATTCTACTCAGTTGAAAGACAAGCACAAATTCTGCCAATGGACTAAATCCAGGAAGGAAGCAACTGACAGCGCTTAGGGACAGTGTTTCTGGTGTGGGATAGCCCACAGCTTTGTAAACATAAGATCTGTTTATTATTTGGCAGTAGTTTCAAAAATTAGATGACTGGATAAAGACATAATCACAATATAAATTTGTAATATGGTAGTTTGCATTGTTAACAGACCATGAATCTTTGGGAGGTGTGTTTTCTTTTTTATTGTCTCCATTTATACACTGGTCATTAGATGTTTTAACTTGCAACTAAATACCCAGAATATTTTTGATTATGATTCCATTTAGAGATAAAAAGTAAATGAAGGAAAGGGAACTCAGAGAAGTGACTATTTGAAGAATAATTATTTGAGAGAATTATTATAATCATTATTATTCTATATTATTATTGTTCATTATTACGCAAGACCTTTAGCTGTATTCAGTTGATCATACAGTGGGGTCTTGACTTGCGAACAGCCCGAGGTACGAACTTTTTGAGTTACGTACTTCTCCGTCCGAAAAAATCCATTTTGACTTGTGGACGGAGAATTGAGGTACGTACCAAAAAGTTTTTTAAAAAAAGCGAGAAAGCACCCGGAGCTGGGTGGCGGCGACGCAGCGAGAGGCGGCGGCGCTGCTCCTGCTCCGGGATTGGGGCACCTCGGGGTGTTCCGGCCGCCAGAATTCCAGCCTGGCCGGGGCCTCCGCCTGTCCTGGGTGGGCCCCGGTGAGCTGAGTGGTGGCAAAAGGCAGTGGCAAGGATGGCGGAGGAGCCTCCGAGAGCCCGCGCAGGAGGGCGGGAGGGTGTTCACGGGGGT